TTGGATGCTCTAGACCTTGACGCCTAACCGTCTGGAAGAAGCACAGTCTTCAAAGGTAACAAGCGTCGGATCCACGCAGGATCAATTTCTTTAGTGATGCTCAATTACTTTGGGTTTGTAGGGGTTTGGTTTTGGGTTTTCCTCACTCGATGATTTTCGCTCAAAGTCCTCGGAGGATGGGTTGCTCTCAAATGACAAGTGTCAAGTTCTCTCGGAGCAGCCAACAAGCTAGTGGTTGTAGGGGGTGTCTAGTTATAGCCTAGGGAGCAGCCCGACATGATAAGACATAAATGCCCCTCACTGCTATGACCGTTAGGTGGATAAGATATTTTGGGACAGCTGGCGCGCAGCACAACAACGGTCGAAAATTTGACTCTCAAATTCCTCAGGGCTATCATGTACCTCACTGTGTAGGTAATTCGCACTGACGAATTCCTAACTCCTCAGTCAGAAAAAATTCATCAGTGACCAGAAGAACTTTGTCTCTATCACTGAAGAAAGTGACTGAACTGTATGAGATTTCCAAAGGCTTCACTCGAAGGGATTGGTAGGTGTAGGATTTTGAGTTGAGCATCACATGGAAATTTTTCCTTAGTATTTCCTCGACCCCCTTTAACAGTACGGTGTTTCCTATGACTCAAGAAAGAGAAAATGAAACTACGAAAACAAAAGTCTTCACGCTTCATGTTCCACAAATGAATACCAAGTCTTCAAGGTCACACCAATTTCTTCACTTTCAAAGTCTTCAGAAAGTCTTCAGAATATCAAAGTCTTCAGTTGAAGAACTTCATTTTTAGGGGTCGACTTTCTTTGTAAATATCAAACTCCTCATAGACTTATAGACCTGTGTACACTCACAAACGCATTAGTCCCTTAACCTATAAGTCTTCAATACACCAAAATCACTAAGGGGCACTAGATGCACTTACAGAGCTTGACATTCCTGGAGGTGACGACGAGCGCTTTCTCGGAGACGCCAACCATCGTATCATCCTATGGAAAAAGAATTGCATCATCTTTCGAAGGCCACCGACACCGCGTCAGCCGACTCCTCGTCGAAGTCCGCCACCGAGTCAGCAGTCTCCCGCTCCTACAAGTCCACTAAGTCCGGCAAAGTGTCAGGCCACTCCTCCTCCTCCAAGTCCGCCACAGCGTCAGACGTACACTCCTCCTCCAAGTCCGGCACAACCTCAGGCCACTCCTCCTCCAAGTCCGGCACAGCTTTAGGCGGCCACTCCTCCTCGTCCAACTCAGCCCCGTCAGCTGTCTCTGCCGCCTCAGCAATCGCAGAAGAGACACCCCGCAGCTATGGTGCGTAGCGGTACGAGTCGAGGTAGTACAGGAAGTACAGGCAGAGGCAAGCGATATAAATATGGTCCAAGCCTCACGCCTCTTCCGCAGAGGGCTTATGACAGGTTCGAGGAGGAAATCACAGCCATATCGAAGTCCGAGGTGGAAGCCCATTTTGCACCGAAACCGCCACCGCTGCCAAGGGAGAAAGTGCCTGAGGAAACGATTGACCACTTCATTCGTATGGCTCAACCACCAGCTCCCAAGCCTGTTGACACAGACTATGAGCGCCACATCAGGAAGTTAAATCGAGCACGTCTACGTAAGGAGGCGAGCTCGGGATCGAGCAAACAAGAAGCAGTTGTCAAAAAATGCGGGAAAACCATTCCCCAGTTGGGAGAACAGGCGGCGCAATCGATCCCCTCGCTTGTTGTGCCAACAACACGTGATAGTACGCGCGCCCAATATTATTGTGGGCAAACAGTTTACGTTCCTGCGGTGGGCAATATGGTAATAATGGAGGACCATATAATGCAGGCTGAAGTTCTCAAAATCACTGTTAGACAACTCCTCGAGATCGAGCCCATACCTGTGCTTAGAGAGGATGAAATAAAATAGAAATATGTCCGGGGCCAACCTTTGGTCAAGCCAGACAAGGTCAAGAACCTCCCAACGAGAATGTATGAATTGCATCAATGGTACATGAACATTACCAAGATTTCTGATCGATTGTCCCTCATGGTGAATGTCAAGGAGGAGCATTACTTCCATGAGAAAGCTGTGTCCGTTGAGTATTCTGAACTGTTTCAGTTATACAATCAAGACGCACTCGACAAATCTATCATCAGTTGCTATTGTCTGTAAGTGATTTCTTTCTGTAATTTAAGTCTCAAGCTAGCTGTAGTGATCCTTTTGATCAATCATTACCTGTAATTATCCTCACTATATTCTTTTCTGTGGTATTATATGCAGGATGAAGATGTATGAAATGAGAAAAGGTGGACGCTTTGGCATTGGGTTCATTGACCCAAACACCGTTAATGAATACACATGGAAAATAAATCCACGTCATCAAAAGGCCGTAGAGGACAGCATGCTAGAGTTCTTGAAGCGCCTCAAATACAATGAAGATATACTACTTCCTTACAACTTCCAGTGAGTCACACTGTCTTGTACTACAAATTCTCTGTTTTTGCCTACTAGCTAGCTACATGTTTTTGCTTACATATGCCCGCTTAATTAAGACATGCAAACGTGTGTGCATGCAGATTTCACTGGGTCTTGTGTATCATTAAAGTTGACGCCGGAACAGTTGAAATACTGGACTCACTACTCAAAGAAAAAACTGACTATAACATCTTGTTTGGGATAATCAACAGGTAATTTCAATCATTATTAACTATATATCTCGGCCTATTTAGTTCGTCATTTCATGATATGAACTATTTAATAACCCCTTTATTCATTTTCTTTGTCGGCAGGCAGGGCTTGGGCAAGGTTCATCAGCGTCACGGAAGGCGAATGGAAAGAAAAGCTTAAATGGGGAAGACCAAAGGTAAGTAATTAAGTAGTACTAGCTAGCTAGCTAGCTGCCATCTCTTTAATTATCATGCTTGATTAATTATTATCTGATCAAATTTCATTCTCGTAAAGGCCCTGAAGCAGACGCAGGGGACTGATCTGTGTGCATTCTGCGTTTGCGAGAACATTCGCATGATGGCGTCCGAAAGGAGCAGATCTCAAAGACAGGAATGGGTACGCTTGTCAAAACACTATTCACAATTTTTACACCATTATCTATATCTAGTCACACAACTAATACACATGCATATTGATCTCCTTCTTAACAGTTCAGAGAGGTGCGGGAGAAGCTCCTAGAAACGGAGCGCGTAGAAGCACTTCAAGAGGAAATAGCGGGATTTTTGCTCGACCAGGTCATAAATCCAAAGGGAGAATACTATTACCCGCTACCGCCCCATGAAAACCACTTCCAATTGTCATCGTGCTCCGAAGGCACCAATTAGGCTAATGCCACTGGCTCCGAAGGCAACATGCATATGTAGGAGAAATTGTATATAGCTATACATGTACGTATATGTGAATTAATTAATATGATGGTTTGTGAGACATTGATGATATATATATGCATGATTGGTTCTACTAGAAATTCTCTCTCTCTCTCTCTCTCTCTATATATATATATATATATATATATATATATATATATATATATATATATATATATATATATATATATGTATAACGTGTACAATGTGTAATATCGTAAAATACCAGCAAACGAAAAAGAATTAAAATGGAAACACAAAATTAAATGAAAAAGAAATCATAAAATTAAAAAAACCCCAAACCTTATAGTACCGGTTGGTCTTACCAACCGGTACTAAAGGGCTCCAGGCCCCTGGAGCTGGCTCGTGCCACGTGGTTTCCCTTTAGCACCGGTTCGTGCTGAACCGGTACTAAAGGGGGGGGGGGGGCTTTAGTGCCCACACTTTAGTGCCGGTTATGGAACCGGCACTAAAGGGCCTTACGAACCGGTGCTATTGCCCGGTTCTGCACTAGTGTAGATACGAGTTTAATCAGAGATGCACAAGCTTTAATCAGCTGGCTCCACCGTTGGACGCGTGCCTGTGTCATCTTGACGTTTTTTCTGCAACATCGTATGTGTTGCAGAAGTCCTTCCTGGACGTGTGCCTCTACCATCTTAGACATTTTTTCTGCAACATCATATGTGTTGCAGAATTCCTTCCGCAACAACAGCCACGTTGCAAAAAAGTTAAGACGAAAATAATATCTCTGCAACATCATTTGTGTTGCAGAAGTCCATCTGCAACTACATCCATGTTGCAAAAAAGTTATGACGATTTTTTCAAAAACATCTGTGTTGCAAAGGTACTTCCGCAACGGCGCTGATGTTTCGGAAAAGTTAAGAAGAAAAGTAAAATATTTTTCATCCGAACCTCTGTTGCAAATGTTTCTGCAACAAGGGGTCTATTGCAAATGTTTTTGCAACACTCACTTTGTTGCAATGGCGAGGAAGGAGCCAGGCCGCTGGATGACCCCGAATCAAACGGTTGTGCAGGCGGCGGATCTTTTGAAAAGATCCACCGTCTGACACATAGCATCGCCCATTTTGTATAGGATAAAAGGTTGCTAGATTTTTATTTATAAATTTTACTTTTAGCATCTCCCACTCTCCATAATTTATTCTTTTTAAACTTCAGAGCACAAGTAATAAGTTCAGGAGAAGGTTCACGTAGATAGCGTGAGATACAGCTGCTGCGTACTAGCAAACTACTACCTCCCTCCGTCCCAAAATATAACATCATTTTTAACACTATCACAGTGTCGAAAATGATCTTATATTATGAGACAGAAGTAGTAGTAATCAGCTTACATACGCATCAAGTCGCGGATGTTACCTACTACAGACACTCACAACAAGCAGTCCGTCCAAATATTACACAAGCTAGTAAAACGGATATGGTTCAAAAGCACCATTGGCGCTTTTGTACATCAAAAGCCCTCCTGCAGGGACGCACACAAAATATTCAGGATCCAAAACACCAAGACAGTGACTTGGACTACTAAACACGGCACAGCTGCATCTGTTACAGCTCCCAGTAGTATCCGGCCGGCAAGACAGACTTGGACTACTGAACATGGCACAAACTGGGCACAACTGCATCTGTTTACAGCTCCCAGTAGTATCTGGGATCATCCATCGAGTACATCGGCAAGGCAGGCGAGTCAGGGGACGAGGGGAGCGAGTAGTCATCCCAGCAGTCGCAGTAGTTCTCGCCATAGTCATCATTGCCCATTGCTGGCTCGTTGTGCACAGAGCGAGCCTCCGTCTCATAGAGACAAGCCATCTCGATCACTTGACCTTCATCCGCCTCGATGGTTTGGATCTCTGGGCACCGAACATAAGGCTCCCGTCCTGGCAGCCGGACATGCCTGATACTGGCACAGCGAGCTCGGAGTTCAGCGTTAACTATGATGTGGAGGCATTCTCTAAGGTCGAGGAACTCGAGGTGGGGGCAGCCTTCGAGGATGGCGTATACCCCTTTGTTGGTCAGGCCGTAGCCTGCCATCTGAAGGAGCCGCAACTCATGCAAGCTCTCTGCTATGGCGAAGGCCTCCTCGTTGTGTATTGCCTCCCAAGCCTCATCAGACTCCTCCTCCTCCTCCTCCTCGTCTTCGTCATCGCCGTTCCGCTGTTCCATCCTCATCTCACGCTCTATTGAATCCGAGTCAAACCAAGGCAAACGGACTCTTAGACGTTTCAGCTCTGGGCGTGCTGCGCCGATCGCCGTGAAAAAGGACCATGACTGCTTCTGATCAGAGTACTCTATCTCTTCTAGAATTGGACATTTAGCTGCAAGCTTAATTATTACGTTCTCATCATCCCAAAAGTAATAGGCGCCGATGAGCCGAATGCTCTTCAATGAGTTGCATCTGCAGAGACAAGTATGAAAGTAGAAGGATGTCACATGAACTGAGAAGAACCAGACAAGTACGGGTGAAACTGTATAACAAGTTTAAACACAAAACATTTTTTTTCCCTTAAAGTGAAGTGGTCAGAGAGATCTAGCATATGAAAAATATAAGATGAGTCTTACTACCTCAAGCTTACAAATGTGGCAATAAGCGACCTATCATAAATATCACATAACAATGCACCATAAATATCAAATAAGATTGCTACCTCAAGCCAACTTATTTGTCTATATAAGCGACCTATCCAAAATATGTTTTCCTAATTGCAGAGACAAATGCAAATGTGCCAATTATGTTTTAGTTTGCAAACTACTCACCTCAAGCATTTGAAGTGTCATTTGAACACCTTGAAGATCACTATTAGACATATGTCACAATAAAATATCATAAAAGGCTGACAACATGTTTAGCAAAAATGTATTGGCCTGATTTGATATCACTCTAATCCCTAAATTAAAATATCATGCTTCGCGACCAACTTATTAAGCTATTAAGTGGAGGTAAATACTGTAAACAGTGCATCAGTGCTAAGAAGATTGCCAGGTCTGATATAAGTAACAGACAAAGTGCCGACATTGAAGAATGCAAAGAACAATACCTGCTTGCAATGTAATTCAGGAGTTCGCTAGTGACAAACTTCTGAGCCCAGAACGATTCCATCCGTCCATCAGAACGATCTATAGCCACCTTTGCCATTTTGCACATGACATTTTCTGCCTTTGAGAAAACCACCTTGTGGCGCGTCATGTCCACGAAGCGCCACAACTCAGGGGACTTGGCTGTCACCAGCCATGAGCGGCACACAAGTCCCGCACCCATCAGAATCTCAATGGTCCCAAGCTTCATGAAGATTGCAGAAAGCGCATCAAGTGGGAGCTCAGACCAATCCCTGACATCAGATATGGGCAAGGGGTTTGGCTCCACCTCCATTGTGCAAGGTAGCTCCTAAAAACAAGTTGTCATCACAGAGATACAAGGATGGCTAACTTTAGCAAAAGCGTAAAATTCGCAAGATGAGAAACAGCTTTAACACAAGAGAGGCGAAGCTTATATAATACAGCAAGAGTAGCTTCTCCCATTGTACAAGATAACGTAACTTTTAACAAGAAAACCTAAGGCTGCTCAAATGGTTTAGGCTGAAGCAACAATCAGATAATTAGCTGAGTATGAAATACCCCTTTTATGCATTTTTAGGGAGGGTGCAGCGATGGCAAAGCTCGGCTTGTTCAGGGAAAGAAAGTTCTGTAGAACAACCATTCAATTTGGTGCCAAAGGCAGTGCGGGTCCCCAAACACCAAGATGATAAGCCAATCAGACCAAGTTAGTAAATCAATCCACACTTACCATTTCAGAATCCCCCCAATTTTGTTTTACCCAACCATCCATGAAACCAGTAACGCACCTCTGTAGTTGTAGCTGATAATTAGCCAAGTATGAAATATCCCTTCTTAAAAAGCTTTTTTAGGGTGGGTGTAGCGAAGCAAAGCTCGGCATGTTTAGGGAAGAAAAGTTCTGCAAAACAACCATCCAATTTGGTGCCAAAATCACTGCCCCGGGATGAACTCTTATTTAAACTAGTTATTGCACATCTAAGTGACTCAATCAAACTAAAAAGAAACAGATAAGAAAAATACTTGCACGAATCCTCGCGTAAAATCCATGACGGGGATTCTGGAGAGGCGCCAGGGAAAAAGCTCAGCCATGCCTCGGTAAGTACTTGTCCTCCCCCGACCCCCGCGCCGCCTCCCCCGCGGGCGGCTCGGGCGGGCGCCGCCGTCCCCCGCCTCTAACCTCCCTTTCCTCGCTCCTCCCCCCGCCGCCGCCGGCCGGATCCGCCAGGGCAAAGCCCCTGCGGTGGCTGGCGGTGGGGGCTTCTTCCTCCTCCGCTCGGATCTGGGCGACGCGGGGTGGCCCGCCCGTCGGAGGCGTCAGGCGCGCGTGGGGCCTGGCGGCGCTGTGGCGGTGGCTCCGGTCGGCGTCGTGCCGCGGCTCGGCGGCGTCCTGGCGGCTGCAGCCTGCAACGCGGCGGCTGCGTGCCCGTGGCCGCGTCCTGGGTCAGATCTGGGCGTCGGTGGGCCGCGGGCGGCTCGGGAGGACCTCCGTCGATCTTCTCCAGCTCTGGTTGGTTCTCTGGGGGCGAATGGTGGCGGCGGAGCAGAGGCTTCGGGTGGTCGCGTGCCCGGCCTGGTCTCATGGCTGGATTCCGGCGGGCGGCGCGGGGTGGGGTAGTAGCCCGTCTGGGTTGCTGCTCCGGCCGTGGGCAGCCGTGGTGTTGTATGTTTCAGCGACGCGGCGGTTACACGGTGGTTTGGCGGATCTGCCCGCAGCGACGGCCGGCTATCTCTGGCGTCGGTTCGTTTGCGGTCGGACCGCTTCGACCGTAGCTCCATCTTCTCGTCGCCCGGGCGTTACTTCGGTCCTGGGGCTGGCCCTCTCCCAGTTGCGGTCCTTCGCTCGTCTCGCGCCCGGAGCTGCAGGACGGAGCTCGTCTCGCGCCCGGAGCTGCAGGACGGAGCTCGTCTCGCGCCCGGCAGCAGGACGGAGCTCGTCTCGCGCCCGGCATCAAGACTGAGCTCGTCTCGCGCTTGGGGCTGCAGGACGGGCGATGGAGGCCAGGTTTGGCCGGCCTATTGGGTCTTGGCGCTGGGGGTCGTCCAGGGGTGCGAAAGGCGGGCCCTTTCCACTCGTCTCTTCGGTTGGGGTAGCGGCGGGTCACGGGTGAGGTGGTGTCGAGGTCTTGGATGCTGGGGCGGCGGCCCTGGTGGTGGTGGTTGCGCGGTGCTCTTGGACAAAGCCCGTGCCTTGGTGCTGCCCGGTCATCATGGTCGTGTGGACGGCGTGGTTGCCGGGGTGTGGCGTTCGGTGGCGGTGATTGTGGGCCGAGGTGAAAACCTGCTCTATCTTCGAACGGACCGGCGGCGGCGAAGATCGTTCCCTTCTTGAAGGCGTCGTCGAGGCTCTCATTGCCCGTCATGCGGCTCCGGGGGAAACTCTGATCCTTGGATCGGGCGGTGGCGGCGCTCCAGCGTCGTATCCTTCCTGAAGGCGCCGCCTTGGAGCGCATGGTTCGTCATATGTAGTTTCATCTCTTCGGGGCGGTAGTGCTAGGAGTGGTGTTGCTGCACTCAACGCCTATGTATCCTGTCTTGGGTGTGTGCGTGTGTTGTGGTGGCGTGGCGTGTGGTTGTACTGGATGCTTGTGGTTTGGTGCTTTATATATAAAACGGGGCGAAAGCCTTTTTCGGTAAAATCCATGACATATGACTTAGATGCGCAATACTTAGGGGACATCTAGATGTGCTCTAGCAAAACTGATTTTGATTTACCAAACCATCCATCAAACCAGTATACGCACCACTCTGTACTTGTGCAGGCAGGCCTTGAGGGGTTCGATGTGGTCCTGAAACCCCTGCTTCGCCATCTCGGACAGCAGGTCGTCGACGGTCATGGCCTCCCGCTTCGCCCTCTTGCATCTGTCGCTCTCGCTGCTCGCCCTGCAAAGCACCGACGCGTCAGCCGCCGGAACCAAAGGCCGTTCAAGCCAACCAGAGATCGAAGAGCGGCGGATCCATTTACCGGCGGGTGATAAACTCGGAGGCCAGCTCCCGTACGGCCCCCTCATCGATCTTCCCGTCTGGGAGGATGACCTTCCCCATGATGCGGGTGATACCCGCGACGGGCACGAACACGTCCCGCCCGTCCCCGATGCCGCCGTCCCCGGAGGGGCTCGCCGGTGGGCCGGCCATGCGCTCCCGCCGCAGCGACCGAAGGACCAGATCAATCAGATCGGGCAACCAACCGAACCCAAACCTTGGGACGAGAAGCGAGCGTATGTGTGGCCGTGGAGAAGGCGAGAGCACAGAGCACAGAGCAGTTTGGAACGAGAAGTCGAGGTGGCCGAGGGAGCGTAGGCGGCGGGGCACAGGTGGTAAGGCCCGGCTTGAACCGCCTATCGTGGGGTTGTTTTCCTTTTTTTTTAAGGTGAAAGAGAGTTTTATTCCATAACAGCAAAGGTTACAATTTCAGAACAACAAGTCCTTACAACACCGAGGGTTTGAATTCAATCACGCCACGGTACAAGCTTCGGTACGGCTATAAAAGCATCTCCAACAGGCGCGCTAGAAGACGCGCCCGCGTGGCAAAAGTGCTTTTTAGCGCGCGCCGACCGGTTTCGCGCGCTCTAGCCGTAGCGGGAAACAAACGCGTGCGGGAAATGATTGCGCGCGCGGGAAAAAGGCGGCAGCTCGCGCGCAAGATTTGGCGCGCCGCTTCGCGCGCGCCTATAAAACTGCAGCGCCATCTGCCGCTCTCTCTCACTCTCTCCACTGCTTTCCCTCCTCGCCGCCGACCTGCCACCACCGCGCCACCATGGCGCCTCGCCGCCGGGGAGGTTCAGACTATCGCGGCATCCGCGTGCGCCCGTCCGGCACCTACTCCGCATCAATTCAGTCGGCCAGCGACGTGCGCCTTAGCCTCGGAACCTTCGACACCGCCCAGGATGGCGCGCGCGCGTATGACGCTGCGGCGTGGCGCCTCCGGCGGTCCCGTTGGGACATGAACTTCACTGATGTGTCGACGCGGGAGGGGGCACAGGAGTTGGCGCCTTTCCCGCGGCTTACCACTGACGAGGATCGTCGCAAACACCGGAGGCGGGAGCGCCGTCTTAGCCTGGCCGAGATGGACGAGGAAGCCATAGCGGTGTGGAGGCAACGCTTCCCGCAAGACATCATCAACGAAGAACAGTTCTTCGCCGAGAGGAGGGTGGAGAGGAGGGAGAGGAGGAAGGCGCGAGCCGCATATCGCGAGGACAAGCAAACGCGGAAGGCAGTCGCTAAATACAACATGGCGCTAGGAGATGCGTCGTCCTGGGACTCCCGCGACGAGCGGTTCCTTGGCGCCTATGCTTAGACGTCGGAGGAGGACATCACCGAGGCAGAGTCTGAATCGGAGAACGAGTAGTAGTAGAACTATATATCGTTGGAGAAGCCAGTTTTATTTTGTATCGTAGAAGCAGGCTATGTGGACATAGTAGAACTATATATCGTTGGAGAAGCAAGTTTTATTTCGTATCGTAGAAGCAGGCTATGTGGACGTAGTAGAACTATATATCGTTGGAGAAGCCTGGATATACGCATTTTGTATCATGAAGCAGACTATGTGCGCTGCATTTTTTGCGTGCTGCTGGAGCGGCGCGCGCTGCATTTTAGCGCGGCTGTTGGAGCCAGCGCTGCGGGCCGTGCAAAACCAGGCGAAGCGTGCGCGACAAAGTAGTTTTTAGCGCGCGGCGCGTTGCGCGCCTGTTGGAGATGCTCTAATATGCCAAATTGATGTGCTACCCTATTATATTCCCTGCTAATTTTCAGAGGAACAAACTCTCTAACAGACATATTTTCTCTAATCTCAGCAGCTAGGTGTCCATAAGCCGACCTGACAAGGTGTCACCTGCAAGAATTGCTAAAGAATTAATAGAATCTGATTTGTACCACCACTGAAAAATTCAAATGTTGAATGGCCAGTGCCATCCTTGCATAATCGCATGTATTTCCGCTTCAAAGGCATCATTGCAATGAAATACGTATCTGGTTTGAACTTTGAGTTCTATCTGGCTACATGGGACTGGATTGGTGATGATGTTACTGCCTTGGTAACCAACTTCTGCTACACAAGTATCTTACCCCCACATATTAGTGACATGAACATTGCTCTCATTCCTAAAAAAACGATTTTGCAAATTCCTATAGATCACATGCCTATTAGTCTTTGCAACGTCATTAAGATCATTACTAAATATAATCCTTGGCGAATAGACTCAAACCTCACCGGCCTGATTATATTGACCCCACTCATCAAGCTTTCATTGAAGGGCATAGAATTAGCGATAATATTATCATAGCTCAAGAAATTACTCACTCTTTTGCTCTTAAATCTTGGAAGCATCATGCCTTCATGCTAAATTATGATCTTGCAAAAGCTTTTGATCGTACCGAATGGAAATTCATAGTTTCTGCTCTCTCTGGTAAAGGTCTGCATGGTCATTTCATCAACTTAATATATGCATGCATCTCCACACATGTTTTCTCTATCTTCATTAATGGTCAAACCTTTCAGAAAATTAAAAGTCAACGATGTATTAGACAAGGCCGCCCTCTTTCTCCGTATCTTTTTGTGTTGCCTATTAACGATCTTTCTCTTGCTCTCGATGACGCTATGGTGCTAATAATCTTGAGAGTACCATGCTTGGTCCAAATTGCCCTCTTGTGCATTAATTACTGTTTGCAGATGATTTACCCGTATGTGGAAAGGCATCTTGAAGGAAGCCCAAGTGATACGCCGGGTTCTCTGCCATTTTTGTCTTGCTTCAGGCCAAATCCCAAATTGGTCAAAATCTGCTATTCTGTATAGTTCTCATGTTAGCCAGGCCATTATCTCTGACATTAAAACCATATTCTCTGTTCCTAACATGGATGAAAATTTCACTCACCTTGGGAACCCGCTTATACTTTCTGCTAAGAACAGAACTGTTGCTTACAACTTTGCCTTGGACAAATTTATGGCCAAACTCCCATGCTATAAGGCTAACACGCTCAACCATGCTGTTAGATTGGAGCTCATTAGATCTATTTTTTCTGCTATTCTAGTTTATTACATGTCTAACATTTTGTTCACTAAGAAGTTTATTGCTAAACTTACCGTTGTTATTAGAACTTTTTGGTGGACAGGTGTTAGAGAACACAACTCTTCTAAAAATATTTGTCTGAAGGCTTGGAAGGACATTTGCACTTCAAAGAAAGAGGGGGTGGTGGGAATAAGAAATCTTCAAGCCATAATCTGCCTGGTAGTAGCTGGATTGGATCTTTTTGGTGGAAGGCAAACCTTAAGCTTATTGATAACTATAAATCCTTGGCCAGATGCAACATAGGAGATGGCAAAAGTGCTTTATTTTGGACTGATCTATGGCACTCTGCTTGTTTGCAAGACATGTTCCCTCACTTATTCTCTTTTGCGAAGAACAAGACTGCTACTGTTCACACCATTATCCAAACGGAATACTTGGATGATCTATTCCATTTACCTCTAACTGTGCAAGCTTTCCAGGAATTTGAAGCTATGGAAGACATTTGCATTGCTTTAAGGGCCTCTGAGATCCTGGATTGCACTGATACCTAGAGTTACATTTGGGGAAATGAGCAATTTTCAGTTGCTAAGGCATATAAAGTGATGATGGGAGTTAAAATAGTGCCACAACAATTCAACTGGATCTGGAACAGCTCCTGTCAGCCAAAGCACAAGGTGTTTTTTTTGGAGACTACTTCATGATAGGCTCAATACTAGGTACCTTCTGAGAAGGAAAACTTTTCATCTGGACAACTATAACTGTGCTGTCAACAATTGCCCACAGGAGGAAACACTCCAACACTTATTATGGACCTGCCCTTTTGCAGCTCAGTGTTGGGACCTGATATGTCCCTCAAGACAAGCAAATGTTTCAGTACTTGAAGCCTTTCTTGATCTCAGACAGAAACTTCATGTGCCATTTTTCATGGAAATCATCATCCTTGCTTCTTGGGCTATCTGGATCTCAAGGAACAACTTGATCTTCCAAGCAATTCATCCTAGCATTCAGAGATGGAAAGCTATCTTCTTGGAGGAGCTAAACTTGCTCAGATTTAGAATTAAGAAGAGCTATGCTGGAGCCTACTGTTCATGGCTTGACAATCTTGTGTTGTAATACTAGTAACTAGTTTGTCTCTTGTTTCTTTCTTTTGTGTTTTCTTGGCTTATCTCAAGCCTTTTGTATAGTGGAACCTTTGTTTTTTTGTTCTTTAATATAATAAAGAAATTCAAGTGGGGTTTTGCCCTACTGTGTACAATCAAAAAAAATATCAAGGTCTCATTTTGGTTGCCGCTTGGAGAATTGCAAACTCTCCAAACTCCCACTTGAAGGGAATATTCCCTAGAGGCAATAATAAAGTTATTATTCATTTCCTTATTTCATGATAAATGTTTATTATTCATGCTAGAATTGTATTAACCGGAAACTTAGTACATGTGTGAATACATAGACAAAACATAGTGTCCCTAGTATGGCTCTACTTGATTATCTCGTTAATCAAAGATGGTTATGTTTCCTAACCATAGACATGTGTTGTCATTTGATAAACGGGATAACATAATTAGGAGAATGATGTGATGGACATGACCCATCTGATAGCTTAACATTATGATTGTTACAATTTCATTGCTACTGCTTTCTTCATGACTTATACATGTTCCTCAGGCTATGAGATTATGCAACTCCCGAATACTGGAGGAACACCTTGTGTGCTATCAAACATCACAACGTAAATGGGTGATTATAAACATGCTCTACAGGTGTCTCTGAAGGTGTTTGTTGGGTTGGCATAGATCAAGATTAGATTTTGTCACTCCGTGTTTCGGAGAGGTATCTCTGGTCCCTCTCGGTAATGCTCATCACTACAAGCCTTGCAAGCAATGTGACTAATGAGTTAGTTGCGGGATGAAGTATTAAGTAACAAGTAAAGAGACTTGTTGGTAATGAGATTGAACTAGGTATGATGATACCGACGATCGAATCTCGCGCAAGTAACATACCGATGACAAAGGGAACAACGTATGTTGTTATGCGATTTGACCGATAAAGATCTTCGTAGAATATGTAGGAGCCAATATGAGCATCCAGGTCCCGCTATTGGTTATTGACCGGAGATGAGTCTCGGTCATGTCT